TCCGCCGGCTCTGAGCGCCTTGGCGCGGAGAACGGCGGTCCCCAGACGCCACCTCGAGTACCCGGCCCGAGGGCAGGGACTGGCAGGGGAGGAGCCGGGCCAGAGCTGCCCGCGGGCGCTTGACTGGGGCCCGAAGCTTTCTGCCCTAGCGCTGGCTTTGGCCTGAGACCCGAGCCGGGGCGTGTACGCGCGCGGGTAGGCTTGGGGTCCTAGGAAGAGGATCGGGAGGGAGCCGGGTCCTGCCGCCGCTGAGGCTCCGGCTCGAGAGCCGGAACTCGGAGACTTGGTCACAATGTCTATTTGCACGAGGGCGAACTGAGACCCAGAGAGGGTGAGTGTGGTGCCCAAGGGCTAACAGCGAAGCCACCAGGAACTGGACACGACCTTAGCCCTTCCAGCTCTGAGCAGCTTCTGGGCCCCAGCCTTGGAACTGCAGCCCAGAACGGGCATAGAGAAGGAAGGCGAGTCACTGTCCGAGGCTCGGACTCCAGGACGCAGTCAAGACTCCAGGTCAGGAGGGATGTAGTTAGGAAAGCCGCGATCAACTCTTACTTCCTTCCACCCCCTCCCCCGCACCACCTGCTAGCACAGGAGGAAGCTCCCATGCCTGATTTTCCCATACCCTGCCGCCAGTCCAAACAGGTGAGCTTGCAGGAACCCACCATCCTTGCATGTAGAGATGTACCTGCCACAGAGGGCATACAGCACCTGACCACAGGCCACGCCAGTTGCCTGCAGTCACTCAGGACACAGCAGTGTGGGCCCCTGGCAAGGCGAGGGCAAGGACCCCGGGAAGTATTGGGGGACTAGCAGGTTATCCTCCAGGTTGCTCCACCAGGGACCCTGTAGGAAAGCTCCACCTTCTCCCTGCCTCTGCCTGGCCTTTAGTCTCCTGGTCTGTACACTTTAATTCAGAGGCCAGTCTGGAAGGACCCTGGCAGGAAAAGCACAGCTCCTCCCAGCTCCAAGCAGACCCAGTGTCTCACAGTTGGAGCAAAGGCCCATGAGGCCAGCGCCTGACCTTTCACTTTGCACCACACCTGTTCCCTAGAATGATAGGGCAAGGATGTACAAGCCGGGAGCTTAGTGTGTGTTGGGCGCATTGGGGTGCCGGCCGTTGAGTGTCAGCTGCTGCAGAGGCCTGCCCGAAATGAGCCATGTGTGGTCTGACTGGGAAAGCGGCAGGCGGGCCCACGCGCTCAGCATCTGGCCGACCCGCCAACAATGCCTCCATTATTTCCCAACGTCCCTGGCGCTCACGTGGCCCTTGGGGAGGGCAGTTTAAGCAGGAGACCCAACCCAGGGATCTCAGTGCTGTGTACTTGGGTCGGCTGGGGAGGCTGGAGCTGGGCTGTGTGGGAGCTGAGGGGCATAGGGTCTCTGGATTTACTCGGCAGACCTCGCTCTGCCCCATCCTCTCCCCACTAGAAGTGCTACAAGGTCCCTTCTGTTTTCCACAAAAAACCACAGACACTTTAGTGCAAGTCCAGGCTTCCTGAACCACCGCAGGAAGCTCCAGGCCCTGTGCCCACTATGGGATCTGCCAGCCTTGCCTCCCCGTGCCCCTGTTCCTGTCTCTCATGTCCCACTGGAGGTCTCTCCAGACTCATTCCCCCTCTGCCTTGTGTGCGCTGCACCCCTTCCGCCAGCTGACCCTCTGTTCATCTCTGCCTCCCCTGCCGTTTTCCCCCTCGGTGTCCTCCTGCCCAGGCTGAAGGCTACAGGGCGCGCGGGGCTCTTACCCCTAGTCTCGCCAAAGGTGCAGACAGCGGCAGCTGCGGGAACCCCAGGCCGATCGCGGTTGCCCTCGAGATCCGTTTCCAGCAGCATCGCAGCTGCAGGGCTGGGCAGGGCCCAAGTGGCTCGGGCAGCGCCCCCCCCCTTCCTCCTCTGCTGCCCCGGGAGGGCTTGGAGCTCCCCGAGGGCCCTGTCGTGTTGGGGCCGCCCGTGTCCCTGTCCGCGCCGCGTGGCTAGATGCCGGAGCCTCTGTGCCGGGCGCTGTCCGCGGTGCTGAAGAAGGCGCGTGGCCGCCCACCGCCCCCGCCCCGCCCGCCGCCCTCAGCTCCCCCGCTACCTCCCCACCCCCCACCTCCCCGCCCTAACGCCTGGGCGGGAAGCTTCGGGCGGCTCCGCCCTGAGCTCCAGGCTTGCCCTAAGGCTGGGGATTCGCCCCAAGCGGGTGCTCCACCCTGCCTTTCCAGCTCTTTCCTGCTCCCAGCCTCCCAGAAGGCAGCGTCCAGGCCATGGGCTCTCCAGCCCCACTGGCCTCCAGCCCAGGTTCTGGCTCCAGGTGCTGCCGCGTTTAACTTTTGCTTCTGGCCTGAGGAACTTTCTACATTCACAAACTCCCCAACACAACATTCCCCCTCAACCAGATTTCAGGCCACAACCCCTCTCCCACCCAGCTAGGGCAGCCAGGAGGACAGGCACCTGGGGCAATTCCAATAGAAACTACACAAACTTGGCCATGAGCTCCAAGACCCTGGATGCCAGGGGTTACCAGACAGTGAGATTCACACCAACACCAGCACCACACAGACTGGGGCTGGTGGGCAGGGTGCCCACTGGTCACTCAGTACCCTGTCCATTTGACACACCAGGGGCTGCCTGTGCCCTCTCTGAGGGAGGGGCCTAGACCCAGCCCAGCTAGGAAGATGAATTCACAGGAACTACAGCAAACAGATGTTAGGGTGAAGCCACAGACACAAGGCACACGTGGCAGCCAACTGCAATACTGGGGCAGTCAGATCTGGTGTCAGAGGCGTGGCCTAGGAGAACTGTGCCCAGTAAAAGCTGATGTCTGGAAATGAGTGTGGGCTGGTGGCCCACTTCACCTGGGGGTCCTTAGAGGTTCCCTTAAACTTGAGGAGGGCGGTCTCTGCAGGCTTCACGTTTCCTTCACCCATGGCAGAACAAAGGGTGTTGTCCTGAGCTCTCAGTCTACATCAGCCCCAGGATCATCTGTCATTGACTTCCCATCTTTCCCTTTCCACCTGACCATTGGGCTGTCTTCCAAAAAGCCTCTGGTCAATACATGAAATTCTAGAATTTCAGATATGCCGTCTATAAACATGAGAAGGGAAAGGAGGCTTCGTTCAGCCCCACCACCTGACACCAATCACTGGTAGAGTTCTCATCGCAAAAGAATTACAATTTTCTCAAACAACAGATTTATTTATTTTTAAAATGTGCACATTATAGTTTACTTTAAAATATAAAATGTTCACTTTCCTTGCAGGTTAACAAATTTCCCTGACAGTTCCATGTCAATCAGCCTCTTTCGAATTGAAATCCTTCCATTAAAAATAAATATACATTTAAATTACCAAACTATTATATTCATTAGTCTCAATACTTACAACTTTAGAAAACAGAACTTAACCCTTGCCTAGAGGGAGCATCCAGTGCTGGGCAGGCCACGCGAGACTGTGCTCACAGTCATACAAGAGACACAGGTTCATGGCCACCTTGGCACATCCTCTCCCTGACCACGAACAGCCTATGAAAACCGTGCCCCTCAAACTGTAATACTATCACAAACTTCAAAAGCCAACATCGCCCTTCAGCTGGGTTTTGTAAAGTGACAAGATACACTGCAACACTGCCCCAGTTCTCATGTGGAAAGAAACTTACTTTAGGGGAGAAAAAGACATTCGATACAAACCAGAAGGCAGTTTCATGAACAATTCTAAGTATTTCCCTTTGGACTCGGTAAATCTGCCCAGTTTTCTCAAGTTGAAAAGCAACAGGTGCCTTCAATAACCCAGGCACACAACTTAGCCATGAAGACAAGCTCCTGGGCTTTAAGACAGATAGGCTTCTAGGGGTTAAAAAAATGCCAAACAAGAGACCTCTCGTGGCAGAGAAGTGATGCAGCAGACTCAGGAGCGAATCCCCTGCACGGAAGGCCTCCAGGCCACATCACCCACGGAGGCTGCTCACTGCCACGCTTCCCACTGAAGGTGACCATGAAGCTGTCCACTTTCCCCCAGCTGCCACGGTAACACCAGTATTACAGCGGTCACTTAATACTCCGTGTGGACAGCTGGACTTGGTAAACACCTGGAGTATGGAATAGGCAGAATGGGAAACACTTAATATATAGGACCATCATAGTCACACACACACACACACACATACACACACACACACGCACAGTTACACACACACATGCCCATAGGCGAGTGGGTACATCTGAGCTTGTGAGACAAATCAACAGCCACAGAGGATCTCAATGGAAATGTTCCTAGCCATAGTCTGTTTCTTTGTTTACCTTTTCAGAGGCAGATTTACTTTTAAATGTTTGGGATTTTACAAATAACGTGTTAAAAACCATTAAATGTTAGAAAAGTTAATCATCCAAGCCTAGGGGACCAGGGCCCAGTGCCAGGACTCTTGGTAAAAGAGCTTCAGGCAAACGAAGTTTGGCCTTAAGGGCACCAGCAAGACCACAGTCTGCCCCTCCGGGAGCCGCCGGCTCCCACCTCACCGAGCTCCCTTGCAGGGACTTGGACGAACGACACAGAACCAAGGGCCCCTTTAGAGATCCCAAAGGACCAGACCGCCCGACACACACACCCTCCCACGGACAGACCTTCAGTCACAGCACCTATGGCAGGTCTGCCCCCTGGACCGAAGACTGGATTCACTTATAGCTCCCCTGACACCAGATTAACAAACAAAGGCAGCGCTTCTGCAGACTGAAAGGGACCACCACCCTGTCCCACAAGCCCATGGGCTCTTCCTTCCCCTTCACACTCCCATCTCCATGTCTGCAGAGAATGGAGACCACTCAGGGTCTCCTCTTCTCTGGTCCTGAGCAGCCTCGGCGCCCACTGAGATGTTCTCTTGCTTCGAGCAGGAACAACCAAGCAGCTGAAAAGCACAAGCACGAGTGAATCACTGAGAACCACTGGCTTCAAGGAGCAGCCAGGAAGGGGAGGCGTCTGAAAGGGCCCCTGGTGGGGAAAGAAAGTGGGTTTTCTCCAAGTCCCAAAGCGAGGCCTGGGGTCTACTGACTTGAGGCGAAGGTAGCTGGGAAAAGTCCTGTTCGTGGGGCCTGGACTCCTACTTCCATTTTTAAACCTAGAAGAGTAAAAACAGAGACGTCTTTGCTCTGGGGTCTGTGAAAGGTGCCCACGGAGGGTGACAGGAATGCCAACAGCCCCATGCCATGTGCCAGGCGCACCCCTGCAGGAAGGGCGTCTGAGAGTGAGACATGGAAGCGGAAGGCGCTGTCAGTGTGACACTGGGTCCGACGCTGATAGAATCCCTGATCTTAAGAGTAAAGCTGCGGGTTTTTCTGAAGGCGCTTCCGTGGTCTCCGAAGTCCTACACGGACAGGTGGTGATGCCTGACTTTCCACCGCTTGGACCGCACCCGGAAGAAAAAGTACATGACCATCAGAAACAAGGACGAGGCCACGTAAAGCACAACACAGAGGCTCATGTCCAGGCTGGAGAAGCCCATCCCGAGAAAGGCCGCAGCCGCCTCTGCACGGCTCTCGGCCGCGCTCAGACTCTCCAGCTTCGCGGCCAGTCCCTGGTGCGACCCCTCCGACAGGTGGAGTCTGGGGGGTTGCACGCTGGGTGGGCGGAGACTCTCGGCACCTCGCTCTCCAAGGGGCTGCTCCGGGGAAGCGTGGCCCCCCTCCCGCTCCTCGCCCCTGGCCGGGGCACCTTCGCCGGCGTCTCCCAGGTCCGCAGCGTACATGTCCACCAGGTTGTGGCTGCTATAGTGCTGCTTCAAGAACAGGAGAACCTGGCCTTCGTTCCAGCTGTTCAGGCCCTTAATTTCCTCATGGCAGTCTGGGCAGAGGTCCGGGGTGGGCCATGGGAGCTTTGGAAACTTGGGGTCCTCACTGGGATGGCCTGGGAGAAAGAGGAGGAAGGGCAACTGTGAAGGGGCCTCGGATGACCTGCCCGCCCATCCCTGCTCCTCTCCTCTCTCCCCTGAAGGTGCGCCTGAGGCCCCGGCCCACACAGGCCCCGGAGCATCGCCCTGGGCACTCACAGTCCAGGTGTTTCCTCAGCACCTACAAGCTTTCAGGATCTCTGGATGATACTCCAGGAGTGAGGTGTTCACTAGTGCGGACAGGCAGACCTCCCCTGCTCTGCCCCGGGGTGGCCTGTGAGATGTCAGAGCCAGCCTCTCCCACACGTGCAAGCAGGCCCGCGGGTTTAACAGGACCAGCCGTTAGCTGGCGACACGGCCCCGCATGACAAATATCCATCAGCCACAGCGTCTCTGCTGAGTGTGCACCTGCCTTACAACTGATCCCTGCCAGGGATGAGGACGGCCGGGGAACCTGCTCCGCAGTGGACACAGTTTTGCACACCTGCCTGAGGACGTCTGAATGTGGGGTGTGATTCCAAGAAGACCCACACCGTTACGGTTTTTGATACATAACTGCTCATCAGCCCTCCACAAAGTCCAATTACACTCCCGTTGGCGTATGAGGCTGCGATGATCCCACCTGCCCCCACTTCTGCTCACTCCTCCCCTCCCTCCGTCAGCACACACGCCGGGCCACCAGCCAATGTCTGGGGGCAAGACCTTGAGGCCCCCACACTCGCGGCTGCATTTCTGTCACACACACGATGCTCTGACAGCCTGCTGGACCACCAGCTCACACACACGTGGCACATAGCACCCTGGCTCCCGGAGTGGCCCAACCTGACCTGGGGACACCTGGCTGCCCTCCAAGTGCTCCTGGAGGTGAAGTACACGTAAAGGAAATCACTTTGTGAGGTTCCTGGGGGACCCGTGCTCAGCGGAGATGCTCTCCTCCGGCCGTGCAGGAGCTGGGAGACCACCCACTGCGCGGGTGCCCCTCTTCCGGGCTGGCGTCTGGTGAGGGGTTTGGACACATACACCAAGACACAGTGGAGCTGCCAGGGGGCACCCGAGGTTGCACTGTGTGGATGGGGAGGTCCAGGTCTGGTGTTGGGGCCTCCAAGGAGTTTGAGTCTCAATCCAGAGGCTAGAGGTGGGGCTGAAGGCGATGGGGCCATTCAGAGCCTCAAGAGTGACAGTTACACAGGCTGCAGAAGCATTCTGCTGCAGCACGACGCAGGGCCAACAGCAGCCCCAGACCTGCAGTCTCGTCGGGCTGCTTTGTGGCAGAGCGCTGCGGGGCCTGGACAACCTTGCAGCCCTCTGAGAGGCGCAAAGGAGGCGGAGGGGTGGGGAGAGGCAGGGGGAGGGGTGGGAGAGGGGCCTGGCACCCTGGACGTGGAGACAGCTCTGGACCAGGGCCACCACTGATGTGCCTTAGCCTGCAGCTGAAGGCGAGGGACAAATCCTAGCAGACACAAGGTGCCTCGGCCACGTGACCCGAGCTGCAGCCGTCAGCTCCGAGAGCAAAGAAAAACCAATTCTCTTTAGTGCTTCAGTTGTAATGTTTTTATAAGACAGTGGATTAAATAAAGACCAATAGTTTAGTGGCATTTTCTATTCATCTCTATTAAGATTTACTTCTCAGTAGATTATTTTTAAGCCTAATTTTAATCTGCCACTGATTTAGGAACAGTTTGAATTATTTAACTCTGAGAAAATACACCCGCCCTAGTTTTTGTTTTTTGTTTTTTTAAACAAAACCACTTTGAGGCATTTGGTTTATGGTCTTAGGGGAGTTTTTAATGACGCTGAAATTCCTTACTGAAAATTACTTACTTGCCAACTCTTGCAGGGTCAGATTTACCCAGGTGCCTAGTGGGCCACCAAGGGGAGAAAAGAGACACACATTTGTCCCATGCAGCCGGGAGCCCTGAGTGAGAACAGCCTGGAAGCCAGGGAAGCTGGCAGCCTGGGAACAGCTGTTGTCTTCGGCAGCTCCCTGGCCAAGGTTGCCATGACTGTCTGACCAAGGAAGGCGACCCGGCTGGGAGCCTGGTCCGTGGCGGGCAGGCAGTGAGTACGGTGGTGAAGCTCGAGCACCGTCACTGTGTGTGCGGCGCTGCCGACCCCGCCGGCCACAGCTCGGGCCGGCTGGCCTCCCCCACCATGTGCTGGCCCCTCCGCTCCCAGGCTCAGGCCACTCGGTGTGGCTTCTGCTCACCTGCCAGGCGACTGTTGACCAGGTTATGTTTCTTCCAAAGCCAGAGAATTGCTTGGTCTCGGGTTTTCACGGAATCCAGCGATTCTTTGGCCATTTCCTCAAAGTGCTTCCCACACTCTTTACACCCAAAGAAGAGGTGGACGTACCTCCTGATGGTCTGCAGCACTGCCTGGGGGTCATCTTCAAAACCTGCAGAGGAACCCAAGCATGTCAGGCTGTTTGCGCTAGAAGCACAAGGCTTGGGGGGCGCTGGGAGCCAGGAAAGGGCTGAGTGCCTGACATGGGACATGGGACAGGCCCCCACCTCTGCACACGGACACAGAAAGAGACCAGCACCTTCTGGACGCCTATAGCAACCAGGAGATGGCTGCTTAATGTTGAGACGCTGTGCCAATCATACAGACGGTCACCCAGGTCCAGCTGCAGGACCCGCTCTGGGAAGTGTGCTGGCGCTCAGGGAAATGAGCCAGTGGCATGACTGCAAGGAACCCTCAGCTGCATGGCCCAGAGACCAGGGCTCTGCCTCGGGGTCCGCCTCCCAGGTGTGATCTCTCTTGGTTACAAGCAACCCCAAAGGCTGGTGCCGGGGAGGGGCAGCTACTCATTCTAAACGTGTGGTTGTTCCGCTTTGAAATCCCTGCAAAACACAAGCTCACAGGTGAACGTGGCCTTAGGAAGTGCCTCTGGGCCCACCGCCCAGCCAGCCCTGTGCTGGGCTGATCTTCCGTGAGACCAGGTAGTGCTGGTGACGGACTGGTCAGCTTCCAGGGCTCCTCCCAGAACGGACGGCTGGCTGGCCGATGAAGCCGCTCTGTTTCTGCAAGCCTGGGCCCCTCCGTGTGAGGAAACTCTCCAGCCCCACCAGCCACATGGCCAGTTGACACCATGATATGGAAACACAGAGCTGACAGCAGAAGGATACGGCCAGCTCTGCGCTGGAAGGAGAACCCCTGAGAAACTGCAGGGGGGCACGCACACAGGGCTGGACTGGCAGTCCTGTCCAGACAACTAATACAGGGGATTGAGCATCCAAATAAGAGACCCATGAGATTAAAACAGATTAAGTGTCAGCATTAAAAGAAATGCAGCAAAATAATTGGAAAAAGGAGAGACGTGGCTCCGGGGGATGAATCCGCCTCAACAGCAGCCCGAGTGGTCTGTGTGCCATGCAGTCTGGGAGCCCAGCCCCGAAGGGCGAGTCTGCATCGGGCTTCAGCCTTGGCGGCCCTGCCTCTTTCGCTCAGGGGAGACCCAGACCCTGAATTCTGCCCCCTTCCCCTTGGCTTTCAGCGGGCAGCCGAGGGCGCCCAGGAAGACCACGTGCCCACGCTAAGGACATGCTGGCTGCTGCCGGGGCTCCGCTCGCCCGGCCCTGCCTCCGGCCGACATCTGCCGTGCTCGGCTGGGTAATCCTCCTTTTCTCTTTCTCCACCAAACCACCACACACCCGGGGCCACCCTAATCTTTAAAGTGGACAAGAACCATAAACCTCTACCTGTGGGGGATTAGGGGACGCGGCAGGCTTTTTAGTCGATGGGGTTTAAACATGCAATAAGGAGAGGAAAAACCTTCCAAGACATAATCCGGCGGTCTCAGTCTGACCCAATTCTCTCGGCGTGAGACAGGCCCCTCGGATATTGCTTCAATTTACACCCACGAAGGGAAAGAGCCTCAAGACCTCTCTGACCGCGCGCCCTGTCGCTCTGCCGCCTTTACGACGTCAGTTCTGCAATGTTTCCACAGCGTGCCCTGGGCCGCCCTCCTCCCCTGCTGCCGCCACACTGCCCTCCGAGCGCTCCTCTCCTCTCGGCAGAGCCTCCCCACGTAAACACGAGGCTCCCAGGACCGGGGCTCACTTTCCACAAGTGGGTTCCAACAGTCTGAGTTGCACTAAATCGGGCAGTGTCGACGTTCTGATTTCACTTTCTGTTCAAGGGATCCCGAGGTTTCTTCTGAAAATATGCCACTTTCTCCTATATGACCCTTATTAAACGAATTTTCGCTTTAAGGCCCATCTCTCTCCCACAAGACCCCTGGAGGGTGGAAATGCAATGTCACCTAGAGGAGAGCCGGGGGTGGGACAGATTTCCGAAGATGTCACATGCCCCCTTACAATGGACTTGCTGCTTCTCTCCCTGACAGGTGGACTCCGGGCTTGATGAGACCTATCTGACCAACAGGACGTGGTGGGAAGTGGAGCCGTGTGCTCTTGGGGTCGAGGCCCAGAGAGGCCCTTCCTGGATGTGGTGCCACCACGTGGGAGGCAGGGGCCAGCCTGCGGGAGTCTGACCTGAGTCTAGACCAGCCTGCTGCCACCAGTGGAGCCCACCCAAAGAGCTGAGCCCCAGGATCATGAGCAAATAAAACACTGGACATTTCCTGCCATAGCATCTGAGGTTAGTCTGTTATAGAGCAAAAGATAACTGTAAAAGAATTTTGTGATTCCACTGGAAGGAATGTTGGAATGTGTGAGTCCAAAGACTTCACCTTCAACTTATACAGACATTACTAAAGTACTGAAGCTGAATGATTGAGAAAACAAAACTAAAAGATATTCTCCAACACGCTCATGGCTGCCAGGGCCCTGATTAAATTGGGAGGTGTACACACAACACAGTCCAAAGAGGATCAACAAGTCCAGCACATTTTTTAGCTTGTTGTGTCAGATATAAAACGTGGCCCTCACCCTCACATCCCCTGCGGGCCTGGTGGCTCCCTTTCCACACATAAAACACGGCAGAAGTGATGGACGTCACACCAGGAAGGGCTCTGACGAAGCCAGCTGCCTCCAAGGCCACAAGGTGAGGAACAAGAGTGGCCTTGGGCCAACAGCCAGCACAGATCTGAACACCGAAGCCACCCTGCGTGGTGACTTAGCACAGGGAGGGCATCCTCTCCCAGTTGAGCTTCCAGACAAGACCCCAGCCCCGGCTGACGCCCTGCCTGCAGGCTCAGGGGGCAACCTGAGGCAGAAGGCCCTCGTCAGGCTACACCTGAGCCCCTGCTCACAGGCTGCAAGACAACGACCCTGAGCTGTTCCAGGCTGCCAGTTCTGTGGTGATTTGTGAATAAACGAGGGATAATAATATACCTCTCTAAATACGTTTCTCAAGTTCTTTAAAGCAAGAAAAAGAGGCGTGAACCCCGAGAGACGCTCCTGGCCAGCGTCCCCTTGTTCTCCTATGTGGCTCACGGCCCACAGACCGGCCAGGCGCGTGCTGGGGTCAAGGTGGGGATCCGTGCTCGGGCACCCAGAGCTGGTGCAGGGGTGGAGCAGAGCTCCAGGAGACATGCTCACCTCCACCCTCCTCAGCAGGGGATCCTAGGGGCACCCCCAAAGACGCGTCACCCTCCACAGCAAGATGCACCTCTGCGTGTCCTGCGACGGCCCTCAGCAGGCAGGCAGCAGCACATCAGTGCGTCAGGCGGCCGCGTGAGGACAGCTCACCTGTGCCGTCCAGCGCTTTTGGGTGGGCCCCGGCCTGAACGGTCAAAGTGTGGAACAGCTTCCAGAGTGCGCACGGGTAGCCCCTCAGCTCCGGCCAGCTTCCCTGACATCCGACCCACTTTATGCGGCTAGCAAGGAGTATTCCAGAGATCTGGGGGGGAGAAAAGAAGAAGAGATAGCTGAATTCTTAAACTTAAAAACAGCTGGTGAATGCTCTCTGCCTTGACGGGGTGGTGGCTTCACTGGGAGCACCTTTCCCCAAACTTCACCAACTTCATCTCACCGCATGTAAATCCAGACCCAATACCAAACAGAAGAGAAAGAACTCTGTATTACGAAAGGAATTCTCAAAAGATGGAAACGTAGCCTGTTCTTTTCCAGTCTTTAGGGAGAAGGGAAAAGCTCATCTTTATCCTGATGAATTAGCACCATTAAGCATGAAGAACACCCACCTTTAAAAAAAATTTCTTTCTTTTTTTTTCAATGGAGGTGCTGGGAATTGAACTCAGGACCCTGAATGTGATAAGCACGTGTTCTGCCACTGAGCTATACCCTCCCCCCGACACCCACCTTTTAAATTAGAATTAGTTATGATGAAATTCACAGAAGTCTAATAATAATAAAATTCGACTGTCAAACAACTCTTGGCCAGAAAGAACAGGACCTTCACTTGAGGAGCAGAAAGCCAGTGGCCTAATGAGGCTGCAAGGACTTTGGGCGACCCTGCTGCCCGGTCCCCGCAGGCCGACTGCGCAGGCCTGTTCACTGTGGGTCTGAGCTCTCCGCTCTCGGCTACCTTCCCTGTCACTCGGCTCAGGTCCACCGCAGCCACCTCCAGCTCGGGGTCACACGAAAGAGGATCCGCAAGGCAGACAAAATCAGGCAGGACGCCCCCACGTGGCGAGCATGCGATTCAAGAGTGACCTCGGGGAATGGATCTAGCGAGTTGCTGAGTCTGTGGCCGCAGATGACAGCCAGACCCCCCTCTCCACGAACGGCCTGCACAGCAACTTGACCAGCGCAGCCATGCTTCCTGATGAACGTGTCATCTTTCCCAGTGTTTTAGGTATAAGATCTAGAAGTGTTTACTAAAAATTAAAAAAACAACCCTAGCACTACACTGCCCAAGTAAACCTCCCATCTCTGTAGGACGGCGGTTTCAGCTCGTGTCTGGTGGCCGGTCCTTAAACGGACCGCCCAGGGCAGGGGGGCAACGGGAGATGGCCGTGAACACTGGACGGGCAGAGCCAGGAGGGTGTGAGAGACGGGGGAAAGTGGGCAGTGGCAGGGCGCGCCAAGCTCCAGGAGGGGCCTCTCACCCGCATCTTGTTGTTCACCAGGTCCAGGACGGCGTTGTAGGGGATCCTGTCCAGGGGGAGGGTGGCCAGCCACTCCTGCAGCGTCTCCAGCAGCTTCCTGACCGGCGGCCGCCCAGGGAACAGCTAAGCAAGAAGGACCCACACTCAGGGAACATTCAGGAAGGTGCCACCCAGACACCGAGACCAGGCCTGTCCCGACACAGACCCACCAAGGAGGGAGGCAGGGGCTCCAACCCATCTGGGGCCTCAACGGAGAATGGCAGTGGGGGTCCCTGGAGGAATGAGTTTCTCCAGAACACAGGTGAGGGGCCCTGGGGGGCTGCCCCTTCCCAGGAAGACGTGGTGGTGCCCTTTCCTTCTCCTACCACCCACCCAGTCAGTCACGGCCGCGCGTCCTCCCACTGGGCAGCCACTCCGCAATGACAGACCATGACACAGCCACCAGCTGCCTTACTGATCACATTGTTAAGGGCCTCATGGTCCTTCCTGACGTCACTGGCCACTTACTCCACGTCCCTTGTGGTAATTCATGCTAATCCCACGCTTTACCGACATACTCCCTGGCCTCCCCCTTCGCCGTCTCGGTGTCACTATCTAGAAGAGCATGCGCACCACTGAGGCTTCTACACAGCAAGGTGCAATCTACTGGTTAACTACACACTGACACTTCTAGCCGCGTGGCTGGCGGCACCGTAGCGGCTCAGAGACGCATCTAGAAGCATCCAGTCCACCGATCTCAGCGGTGCTACGGTCCTTCTGTGAGAACTTCGATCAGGAGCCACCAATTTGTAAAATAAAGGTCGCTGAAGAAGCTCTTAGAATCATGAGCTGAAACTTTACTAAAGATGCTGAAATGAACAGCTAGAGCAGAAACATCACATTCTCCACTCCGCAAAACCTGTTTTTTTCCCACGTGGGACACAAAGCGCCATCATCAACTTGCCAGCATTTAACTTAAAGTTTTATGTAAACTTCAGGAAATTTACTAAGAATAACTGAATGCTGGTCTGACTTACAGGCTCCACGACACAAGGAGGCCCCCCAGCGTGACCCGGCACTGAAATGAGGACAAAGACGTGGGCGGAGAGAGATCACGCACCCCGATGTCCCAACAGCTGGATGACCTGGCATAGGAATGGCCCGTGGCCCGAGGGTCACGTGACAGGCAGACCCGCAGGCACTTTTCAAAGGACTGAGAACAGCTGGAGATCTCTGCACCCTGAGGGGCATGGTGGGGAAGGCTGTCTAACGGTTTCCATTCATTCATTTGAAACACACGAGGCGACTCATCATTCCTTTAAACATAAATTGCATCTCCTTAGTCTTTTTCAAACGCCGTGCTGTGGAAGTGAGCTCTGACCAGCCAAAGCGTTGACGAGGAATCCCTGTGTCAGTGACCGCACATTCGGCAAGGGAAACGTTCAAAATGAGGCCTTCTCAGCTCCCAGATCGCAACTAGCAACTCAGGTCGAGGTGCAGGAAAGGGTGGCCCCAGGCAGTAGTCTCTCCCCGAGGCAGCAGCAGGAGCAAAGGGGACCGACAGGTGGGAACAGGGCCAGGGCTAGATGGGGCTGCTGGGCCAACAGAAAAGGGCTCGGTCTGTCCCCGGGGACGCAACCTGCTTCCCAAAGCTCCTCTCAGCATAGGAGTTCTGGGCCAAGAAAAAGACCACGAGCCCTGGACTTTTAGCTGTGGAGCTGAGTTCTCAGCAGGAATGTAACCCCGACAGCCCCTATCCTCTGAACCTCAGCTTGGACACCAACCGCCACCTGCTCCACCTGCTAAAGGTGTGTGTGCTGGCCCAGTCTGGGGCCCCCAGCACACCGACATGGGGCCACAGCGGTCTCCCGCCCCAAACACCCACCTACACCCACCTCTCCTCCACCCCCAAGTGCACGGGCCTCCCCCTACACCCTGCTTCCCCCTCACTCCCTTTCTCATCCTGCTGGTCGCTCGGCCTCCCCCGTTCACCCACTCCCCTCTGAACCAAGCCCCCAGGCAGTACCTGCCCCTCACCTGAGAATGGAATCACCTCCTGCCCTCCCGCCCTGACCTCTGAGTGCTTGGTGGCCCTACACCTCCACCACGCAGTGTCTCCACGCAGGGAGAGATTCCATGCTTGCCACGTCCCCAGGGCTCGCGGTGGGGTAAGGCACCTGGCAGGAAGCGGTGACTGCAGTGCAGGGGGTAGTGTTGCAGAGCAGGGCCCCGATTTCATTCAGGTCGGCCTGGGTCCCCCACCCTTGAAGCAAAAATCCCTGAGACTCCCTCCGCGGACCAGAGTGGATGCCCGTGCACCTTGGCCAGGACAGTGACAAAATCCTTCAGTGTCTGCAGCTCAGCCCCAGCCAGGGACTTGTGGGCGGCCAGCTCCACCCTCAGGAGCTGGTGCAGCCCCGACTCCAGGTCCGCCGTGTACAGCTTTGACCTAGGAGGAAACGTTACAAAGTCAGGTGAAAACCCACCTTTCTCCTCACATAAATTCCCCCTTCCCTGCCCCACCCCAGCGTGACCCCATGGAGATGCGGAGGGTCCCTGAGCTGTCGGGCGGCGGGCTACAGACCAGCTGCGGCCCCCACGGCCATCCCCCACAGCCTCAGCCAAGAGCAGCACTTGCCTGTCGAATTCCCTCCACACCGCGGCTTCAGGGTTTTCTTCTTTGCTTGGTTTTTCAGGCAGCGAAAGCGATTTTTTCCTCACATCTGGCAACGACTTCAAATAAGAGGAAAAAAACGATCGGAGCGGCTTCCCACTGCGGAAAGGGGAGGGTGGGGCGGCCTCAGAGCCGGGGCAATTGGGCTGGTGCCCGCCACTCAGGCACCTCCTGGCACAGGGCTCAGAACAGCCCACCCTCCGTAACTTGGAGGGTGACCCACACCTCCCGGCCTGACCGTCCTGTGGGCATTTACTGCAGGTATTTGGGGCAGTGAGGGCAGGACATGGCCAAGCTGGGCCTCAGGGAGCTGGCCCCCAACCTGAGGACATGAGACAAATCCGCAGGTCCCTGAGCTACAGGTGTGACAAGCACTGTGATTGTGCTGCTCGGTGGGGACAGGAAGGCCTGGTGTGAGTATCTGCCAACATCAGCTGTACTCAAACTGTGGTTCTCAACGTGCCTAAGAGCCTCTGTCCTGTCTGCCAGCTTTGCATGTGCGTCTGGTAGTCGGGCCAGGGAAGCAGATGGAGCACCCGTCTCGCTGCCGGGTCCACGCATGTGGCACCTCACCAGTACTCTGGGAACGCAGGCTCAGGTGGCCCGGGGCTTCTGGGAGCAAGGCTGGGGACCAGGGCAGGCAGCTCAGGCTCCAGGAGGTCCCTTACCTTCCCACCTGTGATGGTCCCCCAACCTGCACTCAACCAGCGTACTTCTCAACCGAGCTCATCTTAGGGGTACACAGGACCCCACACAGAGGCAAATGGCATTTTGACGATTTCTGTTGGTCCCAGCAAGACGAGCGGATCGTGAGGGTCTGGAGCCAGTCCACCCCTACCCTGGAGGGAGGGGCTAGCCTCGGGACCGGCACAGACAGGAGTGTGTGCCCACACTCGAGGGTGTGCGGGCCGCTAGGTAGCGTCGCAAATGCTCCTGGAGCCAAACAGTACTTACACGGTAACCAGTCCGTGTGACCCGTTCGGGTAAATCAAGTAACAGGAGGGAACAGAAGAAACACCGAGTTGCCCCAGGAAGGCTCTATCCGAATTCAGCGCTCTCTTCACCACGACATTCTCGTACGGAATCAGGTCTAAAGCCACCTGGATAACGAGAAAGTTCGGTCATCTTCTCCGCGGATGGCAGTGTTCTCAAGAAACAGTACGTTGACAAAAGCAGCTCCTTACAGAAACCAGAAACAACATCTAAGTTCAGCAACTCTACAAGCCAGACCATCTCTCACATCTTTGTTTCTGTCTCACTTTAAGGCACCTGAATGAGAAGCCCACGGGCAGAAACTGCGGTCTCACTTAGATCGCACACCTGGTCCATGTGCGCAGGAGCCCTGGGTCATTTTCCCGACATCAGTGAGCTCAGGGAAGGCAGGCGGGGACCCTGGGCCCCACTGCGGGGGCTCCTCCAGCCCCCTACGAGGATCCCCTTGGCACTGAAGCCACCTAGAAGGTGGCTCCATGTCTCCACCAGACTTGGAGGCGCGAGCACAGTGCAGAGGTTGGGTCACCAGCACCTGAGGCCTCCTGCCCCAGCATGCACTGGCCAAAGCTCCCACCGGGCCCACGCGGTCCCGCCAGCCCTCCCTGAGCTAACGACGGCTGGGAGGCCAGCAGCAGAGACAAGGAGAGACCAGGCGCCCGGCGCCAAGTCCCAAGAAGCGCGTGGGTAAGAACCATCCTTCAGCCTGGCTTCTGGTGCCGGGATTTCACCGGGACTCTGCCAGAGGCAAAGGCTTCAGACCCACACCCGTGAAAGGACAGCAGAACGGAGTTTCATGACAGAAACAACGTTTTACAGCTTCTTGAATCTGGCAAGAGTTGGGAGTTCAAACATAGCAAAGAAAAAAGTCTTGATAATAATGCCCAAGAAATAAAAAACGCCCACGAGGAGGATGAGGCCTGTCCAACGGACGGAGTCTGAGGGGAGCCCCTCCCGGCCCCACGCCCAGGACGAGGCCACACTTGGACTCGCTTCTCTTTTACCCACGGAGGAAAGCCCCCCTTCCAACAGTGTCCTCTGCAAACCAGTGAACTCGCTGAGTAGCACAAACCATGATTCCAAGAATTAATGAGAACGAAAAACGTGAACACAAGTCAGACGGAAGAAGGTGTCAGTATCGTTACGTGCAGTCCAGTTCTGGAGCCAGCGCGGCAAGGGACGCAGACACACTACCTCACGTCCGACGTAGGAGCTGTTGCCTTCAAACAGAACTGCCACGTAACGGCCGCCGGGGTTGTCAATGAGGGAGAGAATGTCGCTGGGCCTTTTTAAGGGAAAAAGAAGCTTTTAGTGCTTTCAAGGCCATCATATGCCAGCACCCATGTCACTTAATGCAAGTTTCCACTTTACAAAATTAAATTCAACTTCTAACATGCCAGGTTTTTTTTAAACAGAACTACACACCTAATGGGGTCCAGAGACGGGCAGGCGGGAGGCCTGTTTCCATCCGTGTGGTTCTGCAGGAAGTCAATCATTGTCTGTCTCACTGTCTGCAGCTCTCTGTCGGGCCCTGTGGGGAGCACCCACCATCATGGCCAAGTGTGCTGTGCCCACCCGGCACGGTACTCGAGCTGCTCGGGGAGCCCTGGGGGCCTGTCAGTCCCAAGTGGGGCACAGGGCAGTGGATTCAAGTGGCAGGAGACCTCAGGGCAACCAGCGTGGGACCGGGTGAGCTACAGGGACCTGTGGTCTCTGAGATAAGCCCCCAGCCCAACACACAGCACGGACAGAGGCCACATGCGCATGTCCATCTAGTCCAAGTTCAGAGACTGGCAGACCGGTCTCTGATGTAAAACGGCATCACCTGTGGGCTGCGGGGCCCCAGGGGGAGGGAAGGGGGCTCATTCACAAAAATTCATCCAGGGCACTTGTGATCTGTATGCTTCGCCATACATTTTTTTTTTCAGTGAGAAAGTTGACTTAAAGAAAATTTTCCCACTGTATCTGCCAAGGAAGGCAAAGCACAAAGTAAAAATTTCTCACTGGAACTACGAGCGTTTGAACCCTTAGAGGACAGAACGGAGGCTGGTGCTGAGGTGGACACGCCGGAGGGACAGGTCCCGTCGGGAGCGTTTCCTAGACTCCCTGTAACAGATTTATCTCGGGGGGAGCAATGTACAAGTAAAATATAACATTTACGTATTTACCTTTAAAGTTTTCTCCAATTGTAAAGTCCTTCGTAAATGCTTTAAAATACTACAAAGAAAAACACAGAACCAATCAGAAACAGCCAATCCTGGTGTCTGTGTAAATGCTGAATCTTTAAGGAACAAAACGACCACAGGCTTGAAGAGGTTTAGTTACTTCCCTCCGGGAAGGTTACACTACCGACGGCGAGCCCCGTGCTTCTGCGCACCTGTGGACACTAGCGTTCCCACCGGATTCACCAGTGGGGGCCTGGTACCAACCAGAATTCTGTCATTTACAGTTTCTGACCCCACAGGGCTTCCCCTAATGGCTCCTAGTGCTAAACACATTGATGGTATGTCAGCTCAAGTGACACAAACCTACAGGGAGGCTGACACACACGGTCAGGTGTCTCTGAGCAGAAGGAAAGGATGTTACATGAAAGTCAAAACCCTTCATTACAAGACATGCTGAAGACAGTGGAAGAAGTCACAGACTGGGTGAAGACCCCCAACGCTCACAACCGAAGGAGGGCTAGTGTCGAGAAGACGCAGGACTTCAGTACATCAGCGAGCAGAGCACGAACAAGCCAAAAGGAAGGAGGACGAACAACTCACCCAGAGGGGGTGACACGTGGAAGACGTGGTTGCTCCCTGTCCCCAGTCCGCAGGGAGGGCCCAGTGCTGCACACCAAGCCTGTGCCATGCGCCACAGGACACAGAAGCCCGGTGCCCGCGATGGCAAGGGACAGTAGACCGGGCAGCCAGCACCCAGGGGCCATTTGGGAACCAACACCCAACATGCAGGTGACTCTCAGCAACGTCCTATTAAGTACAAGAGCGGCCCAAGCACACACAGCACAGCACCCCGTGCGTAACGTCCAAACAAAACAGAACAGGAGCACACTCAACGCCATAAAGCTCTCGGACTAGGAAGCCAGAGGAGAGTGACAAGGGACTCGAGGGAGGGTCACCCGGTGGGGCTGGGGCCTGTCCAGGCGACAGGTGCGCGGCTGCGGCTAGGACACCGTGGGGATGAGTATCTGACGCTGTCACACAGAGCACACAATTTTAGGGAATGGGGTCTCAAAGCTTCCTTAGAGGTGACTTCCAAAGGCCCTGCCTCTTTTCTGAGATGTGATGTCACCGTGATGCGCTTGTGTGCAGACACACGGCTGCACACACGTAGACGCTCAGACCTGGATGGGCTTCTCTGATTCCAGCTGACCCTCTGCCCCCTAGTGGAAGAGACGGGTACACGCCTGTCTGTGGGGCAGCCACGACAGCTCACACCGGGCACATGCCAGGCTCACGTCAGCCCATGCCAGGCACATGCCAGGACCCAGACCCATCAGCACCCTGTGGTGACCCCGGGAGCACAGCCTCACATTGGCTCTCGTGGCAGGTCCCGGATGTTCCCGCACCTCCTGCCTTGTTGCTGTGAGCAGGAGCTGTGTGTGTGTGTGTGTGTGTGTGTGTGTGTGTGTGTCCGTGTCCCACAGAGAGACAGCCGTGTGGAGAGGCGGGTGCTCACCCGGAAGGTGGGGTAGAAGTGGATGTCATAGGCGCGGCACACCTCGTGGTTCTTCTCCTCCGCACAGTCCAGGGCGGCAACACGGATGGCGGCGGCCCAGTCTGAAAAGCAGGAGCGAGAACGTCAGGGCCCCTGGCCCCTCAGCCCCACCCCGAGAGCCAGCCATCCATCCAGCCCGTCCCCGCACAGGGAAGAAGAAAGAACTCCCATTGCTGGGGTGGGTGCGTCTCCCATTTCGACGACGATACAGCACACCTTGTCTGCTGACCCTGCAAATCATGCCGCAGGCCCCACGCGGCGGGCTCCTAACTTTTAAACGACTTCGTGATGGATGAAAGTGCCAGGAGCTGCCGTTGGGCTGTCACTGGCCCCAAGTTGGCCCTTCGTCAGGGACACCAAGCCAGCGTCCGAGACCAACTAGACACGTGTGGTCCAGGCTGTGTAGCCGAATGCTCCCAGCATTCGCTCAAATGAGCGAGGCAGTAACTGGTCACTGGACTTTCAAGTCAAAGACACAGATGTGTAAAACACTGAGAAAGGGTTTCTAGCACTTTCCGAGACCCTTCCCACACCCTCAAACACAGCTGCCACTCCTGGGAGTGGAAAAGAGCAGTTTTTAATATATTTTTCCATCTTTAATAGCAGCATTTACCAGCTCACAGGGAAGCTTGTTTCTTTCAAATCCTCGGCCACTTCTGAACTGTGCTCAGCCGGCCTCCGATGGCCAGTCATTCCCACACAGCCCAGCAGCAGGGCCCCTGCCAGGTGAGACCGCCCCCCCGGCACAAGCACACCGCCGTGATCACGCCAAGGCAGACAAACACTGCAACAGCAACAGACACCTGGTCAGGAGTTAAATCTCCCGGACTGTCCCATTTTCGCTCTGTTGGAATCAGGTCCAAGTAAGGCCGACTTAGTGGGACCGTGGGTGGGTCCTCCACCCCGTGGTCTCCCACTGTCTGGATTTCACAACTGCACCCCTGCCCCGGGTTTTCTGTAAACACGTGGCCCGAGATCCAGGTTTCAGGAAGATGTGCTCTCAGGTGGTGTGATGAGCTTCCACCAGGAGGTGGGTGACCTCAGGCGGCCTCCCTTCTTAATGACTCCCCCCAGCACTTTAAGTCCCGATGGCTGCAGGCCAGACGGTGGGCGGGGGCGCCTCTGTACAGAGGAGCCTGCGTGGTGGAGACCCTGAAACGTGCTACACAGGGGTCAGGGCCTGTCCCTCTCAGTCATCGGCTTCAAAGGGACAGCATCCCCAGCAGCCTCTGGAAGCAACTGGTGACATTTCCTCTGAGAAATTTGCTCTGTTTCTCTGGGGTAGTAAGATTCCCACTCGTTCCCTGGCTCTGGGCCTGCAGGGGACAGCCTGCTGGGGAAGCAGGACAAGCTGGCGGCCTCTGCAGACACACAAGGGAGCAGAGAGACCCCCCCAGGCAGGCCCGGCCTGAGGGAACAGGGCCAGGGACCTGGCGAGCCCTGCTCATCTTCCCCTGCAGCCCCGTGAGTCCTGAGTGGGAACCTACAACTGTCTGTCCCTGAGACTGAGGAGTTCCCACAGGACACCACCACTCCAAGCCAGTCATTTGGTTATAAATCCCAAGAGAAGGGTTTTCTCTGCATACTGCTGTGACCTAGAACTACAGAGGTTACAGTTAAGCCATTTCCAGGAGACAGAAAACACTGACCAGCATTAAGTACTATACAGACACGAAGGCTTACATGTATCAGCAATGTAAGAATTGCTTTTTTTCTAATATAACACTTTTGCTTAAAAATACATGCTGTTTTCCTCTGTAATTATAAAAAGTATTTACCAATAGTAATATAATGCAAAGGATCAAGTAAAAAAAGAACAAAAATGACGCTCCGTCTCTCACACCTGATGACTTCTGTGGCCTCTGGGAAGCCGGCTCCTGTCTCAAGGCCATTTTAAATGGATGGAAAAAAAAATCACAGAAGCCTCCCGAATCACAGGTCTCATCTTCCTGGATCTCAGATTACCAGGAACTCGGGAAGAACAGTTAATACTCTCATCCCGTTGGTGCAGCAGATGCAGGCACAGAGCCGAGCGCGGCGTGAGCAGTGGCACCGTCTCCCGGCCTGGGCAGGCCCCTCCGCCCGGCGCCCCCCACCCCAGGCCCCTCGCGCTTTTGCTACCTGTTCTCTTGCTCACAAATGCGGGGTTCAGGGCTTACTGGGAATTTCCACTCCACACTTTAAGAAGGCTCTCAGCTCTCTACTGCCCAGAGAGCGCGTAAGAAAGTGGAAGACCACGCAGGAGCTGACAGGAGGCACACAAGGAGGCCAGCCAGGAAAGCACTCAGAGGTGTCCACTAGGATTTGGTTTCCATGGTGGGACTTGGTCCTACTCTTTTATTTTTTCGGATTTTTCTTAGTGTGTGTTACTTATAAAAATCAACGTTTAAAAAAACTGGAACCTGAGGGTACTCGTGGAGACCACGTGTCACGCGTCTGTGCACTGCCGGCCACGTGTCCTGCTTCTCCGTCTGCACCTGCCTGGAACTCCCAGGTAGGAGGCTGCAAACAGCACCCAGCAGAACAGCTGCTGGGAACTGGAAGCCAGACTCTGACCCCAGGCCAGGATCACACCCTCTAGAACCAGCACAGCGCTAGACAAAGCAGGAGTACTCTGGTTTCACATGTGGTGGTCGGAGTGCGGTCAGCCCTGGTGAAATGGCTCCGTGGCGGCCCCGCAGCCCTGAGCACAGAACCACAGGTGCTGAAGAGCCCAGTCCGGTCCACGAGAGCACTGGCTCCCCAGGCTCAGCAGGGCTAGGCCTCAAAACGGGCCCCTGGCACCCGTGCCCCCACCCTGGCCACCCCAGCCGGCTGCGATGACCCCATCCCCACCTGGACAGGCCCTGCCCCCAGCACACAGAGGACAAACCCCTTGGGTGGACACTGCCCCGACCCATGCTTGGCTGCATTCTTCAATTTCACATAAACGTCACCTCCTTAGGGAGCCCCTCCGCGACCCCCTGCCCAGGCAGTCACAACAGCAATGAAAGCTCCCCTCAGGCCTGCTTCCACACCAAAGTGTACGAAGCTTCCTCACCAAGGCACGAGCGGTGGGAGTCCGTCTGGTGAAACGGGCAGGATGCTACGGGTGAGGAGACTCAGGAACCGTCCACTGTTCAGCCAGCCCAGCGGCTCCGGGCCCGCAGGGCAGACACCAGCAGGAGGGGGTCCGGCTTGCACGTTCACGGGGGCCGAGCCTTAACGGCATCTCCCCTTGTCCTGCCGCCTCCGGACCGAGACACTCGTCTCTTCAAACTCAGTCCACCTCCGACGCCGCAGCCCAAACGTGTGCTCCTCTGACCCTCAGACGGCCACGTGTGGAATAAAGCCACTGTTTCCTCAGACAACTTCTTAAAAAGCCCCCGCATGACATTTGGCCTTTTTAAATATACAGAGAATCAATTTTTTTGAAAAACACATTATCCTTGTCCTCTAGACATTTTTATTTTATCCCTTCTTCCCACCAGATCGCGGGCCCGGCGTCCCCGGCAGAAGAGGTCTGTGAGTTAAAAGCAGCCCTAGCCCGAGCCCAGAATTCACAGAGACTGAACAGGTTCACCCCCTGGGGAACAAGCACTTGGGGAGCCTGTGGGACAATGCCCAGCGTGCCACTGAGAGGCCACCTCTCTGCCACTGCTCCAAGTTTTAAACAGTGTCTCTTACAGCTGGGTGTAGAAGAGAACCAGCCCGCCGGGCAGGGGCTGGCCCGGAACAGGAAGGCAGCTACGCCCTGGAAACAACACGCCAGCGACACCACAGATCCCGACCTGTCCCACCCCAGGAGGTGAGTCCGGAGCACGGCTTACCGGCTAGAGAGCCTGGAGCCACTGATCCCTGCCAGAGCTGGAGCAGCTGTGGCCCCTTTCCACCCTCCAATGTGGACAGTACTGCTTATCTTGGGCCTTCGCACCTGCTGCCCCTCCATGCAGTGAGCATGCACTCAGTGGCCCCGAGCCCTCCCTGCACTGCCCGGTGCCGATCCAACCGTCCTGCTCGCCTTCCTAGGACCCATCGCCGCCAGTTAACTGCCTCATGTTGCTTGTTTTTCCATTCGTTGTCTGTGCCTCCCCTCCGAAGTACAGGCTCCAGGCAGACAGGGGCCTTCCCCGTCTCGTTCCACACCTACCCCAGGACTTGTGGGCAAGGGAAGCCCTCAGAACATGTTCCAAGACGCGCACAAATGAACACAGAGCACAAGTCAGAGGCACTGGGGCACGCACAGGGCCAGCCCCCGCCCAGCCCCCAGGGATTCCTGAGTCCGCAGGGCTCCACTCCAGGGCGGCCTGGTGCAGGGCACGCGGACGCCTCACACCGCCTTTGTCTGTCTTTGTAAGATGGCCGGCCTGTGCGAGGCGAGGCGGGAAGGCTGGTGAAGGAGGCAGATGAGGGAGAATTTCGGTTACACAGGCGCCAGCAGTCACTGCAAGCATCCCAGCAGATGGACGGCATTCAGTGCAGCACAAAAGGGAGACAGTCTATTTCATCAACTAAAAAACAAACTGTTTCAAAGCTTTAGCTTCAGGGTATCTGCCTCATTCAGCTTGTCCCCTCCCCTCCTCCTGCCTCTCCCACCTGTCTGGACCCCATCACACAAAGGAGAAAACCGCTCCGAACCAAATGCCAATCGCCCGCTTTCAGGACATTGGCCACCCCCAACTGAACACAGGGGCAGAGAGAGCCAGCTGGGAGGCAGGGAGGCCACCAGGGGCGCCCACAGGGAGCAGAAGTCAGGTCGCGTGCCCACTCCTCACACTGGCTCATAAGCCTATTTCTAGTACCACAAGCTTAAAAAAACTTGTGAAATCATCAAGTTTCTACATACAGTGGACCAAAATTTATTTCAAGCTTCTTGGCCAATTAACGGTATCATTTAACCTAACAGGATTGAACTTTTCACCATTACTTGTCCAGTTCCAGTAAAGTGTCTATAAAAGTCTGATTTATGGTTCTGGAAAATGATTGCTGTAAAGGTTAATTAACCCCCCAGGTTTAAAAGAATGCAGCTGAGTGCTGAGCTCCACTCCAGCCTCCTCACCCTCAGGAAGTCAGGGCGATGCTGGGGTCTCTAACCCCACTTTCCAGTGGCTGGAGGGCGTCCTCTTCCCTGCGCAGGCCCCTTCCTGGCTGAGCCAAGGTCTTTTTAGGTAAGCTCCAAGTTCAAGTCACAGTCTAGGACACACAGCCCCGGGAAGAAACCAGCCGCACACTAACAAGCAGGGAGAGCACGTGTCGTCCACAAGTTACGCAGGGCTGGCGTCGGGTCAGGCGCGCTGTCCAGCCTCACCTCAGCTGGCCTCAGGGGTCCCCTGCGTTCACCCAGTGCGGTTAAACTAATGCTGCATGTGGTCCCACGGGCTTGGAGCGAGCTCAGTGGTAATGGCAAATCCAGGGACGCTGACCACCCCCTGTGGCTGGAGGATGAGCATCACCATGCTGTGGCACGAGGCAGGAAAGCTCTTGAGCCCCCAGCTCGTCTTCACAGCCCAGGCAGGGCCGGCGGCGCACCGACGACCCGGTCCCTCCACTCGGTGTCGCTGAGCTTCCCGCAGTGGTGGTGTCCCTCCAGACATGGTCACAACTAAGCCTGTGTCTCACAGACAAGTGTCACTGTGGGGGGAGGCCCGCCACAGGCTTCTCTGGCCCACAATGGGGGACGTGCCTTCTGCCTGCTTCTCCAGGGTCCAGGTGAGCTCCCACTGCCATCAACACCCCACCTCCCTCAGTCCCCTCCTTCCAGTGAACAGGTAATGACCTGGCGGGAACATCAGGCAGGTGGTCTAGTTCACGTCCACAATGCCTGTGGCCACACTAACAGCGAGACCAGCAGGGGATCGAGGGGAGGCCAGACTGAGTCCACAGTGCCGGGCAGCAGGGATGGGGCACCCTGCCATCCCCCACAGACGCTGGGGAGAGCCACCTGGGCTCTGGCACCACCAGCCTGTAGCCCAACTGTGTGACCATGCATGGATACCAGGGAGGTAAAGGGGTGCACTGCGGGTGACTGCCTGCCTGCCAGGTCTGCGGCTCACTCTGAGTCTCTCACCAAAAATTCTGGTTCCGATTAGAGGACACTTGCCCCTGCTTCCCTGGGGCTCTCTTCTTCGAGACAGAGAGAATGGGAGATACCAAGGGCCCGGGGACTCTGACAGGGAGACTCCTTGTCTTGAGAAAGTCTCCCCAGGTATTTCAGAGATCTCCCGGTGGTGGGGCACAGGCTCTGCCCACAGATGTCTCAGCTCCCATCACAAGAGGAGGTGGTGTCACAAGCCAAGCTAATGTCACAGCTCCAGGCAAAAGGATTTTCAGGAACACAGCAGGGTTTTGTTTTGCAAAGGACTTAGAAGTGACAGGACTAAGCCAGAGCTACATAAACACTGGAAGGACATTTGGCCACACCCAACAGTAGGGTTTTTGTTTGTTAAGTCACCTTCTTATAAGGAAAAGCAATCATTTTCAAAATCTTGAAAATGTCAGTGAAGAGCTAAAATTCAATCCAAATCTTTTAGAAAAACGAAGGTACCTCTAGGCTGTGAACAGAGAGGCCCTGCTGAGCGGGGAGGAACCCCACCCTCTGCAGAGCTGCCTTGGGCTCTCACCCCATTCTGAGCAAGTGGATGAGGCCAGTCAGGAGGCACTGGTGGGGGGACAGCAGGGGAAGCAGATGCTCCTCTAGCTCAGTGTCCCTCCCCCAGGCCATGTCAAGCCTGGGAGCAGAGGCTGTACCAGAACCACCCACTGTGGAGAAGCTGCACTGCTATAGAGACTGGGAGGGCAGACGGGGCAAGCTGGAGGGACACTGTGTTTCAGAAGGGGTGGGAGAGGCTCCCAAGGGGGCCCAGTCCAAGGTCTGCGTGTCCCGCGGGGGGGGGTTACTGGACATCCCAATTCACAAGTGACTGACCAGGACCAAAGTGGTGACAATGCGAGTGAGGACTGCTCCCAGACTGGACAGTGGGGGCGATGGGCAGCCTCTCCCTGTGGGGCCCAGGGCGGGGAGCAAGGCACTGAGCAGAGCGCGCTACACCAGCCCCCTCAGTGAGCGGAGGACAGCTCTTCTCAGCCCTCCACAGGGAGTTCACTGAGATGAGGCCCAGGAAGGGCCCTGTGGTCAGTCACATGGGAGGCAAGGGCCCGGGTAATGGATTCCTTTACTGAGTTCTCACTGCAGACACCGCAAGGGGAAGGTCACATGCTGTGTTTCCTGTCTCCTTTGGCCACAGGCCCTTCACTGCAGGTGTCCTGCAGGGTTAGTGTCCCCGAGAACAGGAATCCTCCACCTCTGGGGCTTGTGCTGACAGGATGCGGGGCCTCACACCCAGAGCTTCTGATCCAGCAGGCCTGGGCTGGGCCGACAAGGTGCATTTCTACCAAGCCCCCGGGTGAGCGCTCTCTGGACATCCTGAGTGGAACACTCTCCAGTGCCAAGGGCTCTGCCTCTAGTTAGAGCTGGCGCTCAGGGAGCCCCCATGCAGTTTGGCTCTGAAGATCCCTACCTAGGCGCCCCACAGCCCCCTCCTCCCCACCCCTGCTCCAGCCTCCCCTGTCTTTCAGGACACAGCTATTTTTCACTTTCAGCCACATCTCCCTTCTATCTCAGACTTGCTCTTCCTGCTTTGAGGACATCCAACTCTTGTGAGATAATCTTATTTAGTTAATAGTTAAGTTAATTACACCATCAGGTATGGATTGTACTGGTTTCAGTTTCAAAAGTAACTTTCCTTCCGAGTTCCAGGGACAATTCTCAAGGCTCCTTCCATGCTGGTTCGACTACGAGATGGTTTACAATATTCAAACCTGGTTTATAACTTCTGTATTTTCAGACACTACACTGAAAAAAACCAAAATATGCACAAAGTAGGTGACAAGTGTTCTGCCAGAGCTACCTGCACTTTAATTTATATATCTGTGTTTCCGCCACCAAATAACACAGTCCTCTGGGTTTAATTAAAGTACTTGTTGTCAAAGCAAAGGCTTAAAAAGAAACCTGAGTTGACTGTCCATTTTTCAATCTCTGATTTCAGTTCTGACCAGTGACGAATACTAGGGACTTAAGAAAACTTAAGACGAAAGAATAAGCCCTTCAGGATCAAGAGGCCCCAACACCCTGAGGAAAGATGAGAAGCAGCTAAAGATAATCATTTACAATCACGCACCGATATAGACTTTTTTTTAAGTTTCTTTATCAATCTGTTTAGATATGAGGAAGTCACAACAGGGTTGGATGTAAAACTGAGGTGTGGGAAGAGAGCCCAGTAATTTGTTACTCTCCTGCCCAGTGAAATATGTAATTAGAGGTCAGCTCAGCCCCTGCCAGAGTCCTGCCAAATCTCGCTCCTGCTGGGGACCAGCTCCCACTGCAGAGTAAATTCACTTTCCCCTGTGAAGCACGGCCAGTTTGCAGGAGGGCTGCTGCCAAACTCCCTCCTGCTACAACTCTGCCATTTAGAGCAAGCGAGTAACTTAGTGACTGATTAGCAATGTGCAGCATGATTAAAGTGCCAAATGTCAATAAAGTGTGGGAACATTACCAGAAGTTTGGTGGATGACAGATTTATCAAACGCTGCGTGTCTATGAACAAGGAACCAACCAATAACATGCTCTGAAGGTGTTTTTTGCTTCTGCGGTGAAGTCTCCAGTATATCTGGACGTCTAACTTGTGGGTACTTTGAGTATCCGCCATATGCTCAGCTATCCAACCCAGAGGAGGATGAGGAACGATTTAAAGGGAAAGGGACGTGGATTAGAATAGGGTCCTCAAAGAATGAGGATTCCAGGCACTGACATGGAATTACGGAGGACGGGGTGTGCTAGAATAAAGGCCTGGGAGTGTAATGAAGCTCTTAGGGACTCAAAACCAGGCATCTGGAGAGCTAGGAAATGATGGGAGGATGGAGTGAGGGATGGAGTGAGGACTGGGGGAGAAGGGTTCGTGTCATTCTGACCTGAGACAGCCACCAGGATCTCATGGGGGTCATACAGGGAACCCCGCGGTGCAGGCCAGGGGCGGAAACGGGGTTCCTCCGTAGGGCGAGGGGAAAGGGCCTGAGAGTCTGCC